TTATTTATACAGAACTTGCACACATACAAGTCAGTATTTATCTGTTCTACTGAACGCATAAACAGTAAGGGCTGTGGGACCACAGCAGGATCCCCAACTACAAGTCAGACACAATTTTTCTATGTGATTATTGGCCACAGCAAATCCAGAAAACAAAATATTGCTGTTGGATTTTAAAGTCTTCGTGAGTTTTCAGACATGCCTGAGACGAGAATGGCACTACAGAATCTTGTGAATAAGCAACCTTTCTTCCTAGTCGCACAGCAAGTTTTTAGCAAAGAAAAACACATGTGGGGAACAAGCAAATGCACCTTTCAGAATTAATTTGTGTCAGGAATGAAGCAGTCTCCGATTCTGCCTCCAGTTTGAAAAGGGGTTCAACACTATATATCTTCACCAACACATCTATACAAGTTTCTCATATAGTTTTAGGACAGTAGAAAAATCTTGTGAACGCCTTGTGATAGATCATATCTTCTAAGATACATAGTGCCTAGTAATATTTCTACCTAATAAATACTCAGACATGCCTATACATTCAAATTTTTAACTTTTTTTTTTTTTTTTTGACAGGCAGAGTGGACAGTGAGAAAGAGAGACAGAGAGAAAGTCTTCCTTTGCCGTTGGTTCACCCTCCAATGGCCGCCGTGCCCGGTGTGCTGCAGCCAGCGTACTGTGCTGATCCGATGGCAGGAGCCAGGTACTTACCCTGGTCTCCCATGAGGTGCAGAGCCCAAGCACCTGGGCCATCCTCCACTGCACTCCCTGGCCACAGCAGAGAGCTGGCCTGGAAGAGGGGCAACCGGGACAGAATCCGGCACCCCAACCGGGACTAGAACCCAGTGTGCCAGCGCCACAAGGCAGAGGATTAGCCTAGTGAGCCGCGGCACCAACCTCAAATTTTTAACTTTAACATTAAGGAATTCTATTTCAAAATCATAATGGAATCTCACACAGCTTAAAATGGGTAAATTTCCATTTTTCCTCCTACAAATTAGTATCATTTATTTAGCACAACTAACAAAGGTATCAGTAATGTAAAATTTACTCAATATTGGTCAGCGTATCAAGAGTTGGGCATTTTGACAGATGGTCTAAATTTTCTTTTGGTTTCATTCAAGTCTCCAAGGTCTATTAATGCTTGTATATCTTAGTCATAATTGGGTGAATGTATTAAGATAACAAATGGGTATTAAAGAAAGTAATCTTGATAAGTTGATAATGTGAAGTAATGATTATGTGAAATTAGATTAAGTACTACAGTTGGGCCTCCATATCCCCGGGCTCTTCCCTGTGCAGTCAGCCAACTGAAGGTTGAATATATTTGGGCTAAAAAGAAACTTAAGTTTGTACTTAAGATGTATACACTTTTTTTGTCATTATTCCGTAAACAATACAGAATAACAACTGTTTAAACAGCATTTACATTGTGTTAGGGATTACAGGGCATGTAGTAATTGAGGACTTCCTGAGAGGATATGGACAGGTTGTATACAAATACTATGCTATTTAATATAAGACACCGGACCATCCTTGCCTTTTGATACGTGCGGTAGAGACGTCTGTGTGAGCTTGGTAGTCTGGTTATTTAATGTCTATGTGTGCAGTGGAAAGATTGAGGTGGTTCATGCATTTCTGTGAAAGCTTTGCCCCTGAAAGAAATTTTTGGGCTCAAATCTTGTATTTTGGGGGGCTAAATGCAAACAAATCTGGAACAGCATGGAGTCAGGTTCATCATTAATTGCAATACAGATAAGAGCAAGTACTGAACCAACCATTACACCCTTGACATTTCTGCTCTTTTTGCATTCTAGCTCTTATTTTCACTTTACAAGATGGAAGCTCGAATCTCAGGTATTGTCTCTGCTACTGCCGGGAAAGTATCTGACATGTTACCCCATAGCATTTTCTTTACTTTTCCTTTAAAATCTTTTGTGGATAAAGAATACATCTTGGAAAATAGAGTCACTATATGGAGACATTTTGGTCATTAAATTTGAATGTAAAAAAAAAAAACATAAAGGACAATACCAACCCTTAAGGTCCTTAAATGATGTTAAAAATTAAAATGGGGTGAGAGTTGTGACACAGCAGGTTAAGCTGTTACTTGGCATGTTCACATTCCATTGAAGTGCCTGGAATCAAGTCCCTCCTCTGCTTCCCACTCAGCTTCCTGCTCATGAACCTGGAGAAGCAGCAGTGATGGTTCAGCTACTTGGGTTGCTGGCACCCTCTCAGAACACCAGGATGGAGTTACTGGCTGCTGGCTTCATGCTGGCCCAGCCCTGGCTGTGGTCGGCATTTAATGAGTGAGCCAGTGGATAGAAATCTCTCTCTTTCTGTCTCTCTGCCTTTCAGATAAAGGAACAAACTTTAAAAAATTAAAATGGGTTTCTTTAATGTATTATCTTGTTGTAATCTCTGTAAAAAAAAAAAAAAACCTTTCCAAGCAACTCTTTTAATTTGGAGGACTTGCAAAGACATTTTCTACAGACCAAAAATCATCTGTACTGTATCCCTGCAGATTTTGTCCTGCTTGAAGTCAAGACACTTCCAAGGGGGAAGGTGAGCCCTCTACCCTGAGGGTATGAATTATGCTTGGTACAGTCCCCTCATGCTTAATTCATGTCCTGATGTGAATTATTGGTTCAGTGTGGGCTGAATTTGTCCTGAACAGTGCAACACGAAGAGAAAGTTTGCTGGGAAAAAAATCTGGAAGCATTAGGTTCTCATTGTAAGTGAAATGAGCAAGATTCTCTAGAACAGAACTTGCTGACTTTGGTCAAAGTCTGTGAGGTCAGGATGCCTTATCTCACGGTAAGGAAATTCAGGACAATTATGGAGAAGCGCTTTTGTCGGTTCTGCATGCTTGAGCTAAGCCCTTGCCTGAGAGTCTCCAGTTACATTCCAGCTGCCTTTAATTGCACGTTCTTTTTCTTAGAGCACAAGATACCAAGTGAACATTCACACCAGAGAGACCTTAAATCAGATGAGATCCTAAAGACAGGTTTCTCTGTCACTATGCATTTTTTTTTTTTTTTTTGGACAGGCAGAGTTAGACAGTGTGAGAGAGAGAGAGACAGAGAGAAAGGTATTCCTTCCGTTGGTTCACCCCCCAAATGGCTGCTATGGCTGGCGCACTGCGCTGATCCAAAGCTAGGAGCCAGGTGCTTCCTCCTGGTCTCCCATGCGGGTACAGGGCCCAAGCACTTGGGCTATCCTCCACTGCCCTCCCGGACCACAGCAGAGAGCTGGACTGGAAGAGAAGCAAACAGGACAGAAACGGTGCCCCAACCGGGACTAGAACCCAGGGTGCTGGCACCGCAGGCAGAGGATTAGCCTAGTGAGTCGTGGCACCGGCCTATCACTATGCATTTTATAAGTGATTAAAGAACAATTTTTTGGAAACAATTCAAGTCATATATTTGTGACACAGGAGGATTTACCTAGATCTAACATTTGTTACTCTTGCCTTTTCAGATCTGTTTCCCTTTCTCTCTCTATAATTTTGTGCTGCATGGTTGCATATTTAATGGCTGCCCCAGAAGGAGATATCACCCTTTGATGTTGCGGCCATGTCAGCTGCTGTGAGAACACCCTGCAACGCCTGCACAGTGGCAGATTCCCTAACGATGTATTTCTCATAATGCATCCTTGTTATTAAGTAATGGAACTTGTTATTCCTCCAAGCCCTCCCACCCCTCCTCTCACACTCAGCAGCTCCCTGCCTTCTGTTCCTGGCCTGGGAACAGGCCTTGACCTGTTGTAATCCCTGTTGTAATGACCTGTTGTAAACCCCCTGGCCTTGACCACGTGTAATCTGTTCCACGATGTGTACACGAGCCAAGCCATCCCACCAGGTCCAGTTTTGTTTGTTTGCTTTAACAATGGCCAGCACGGCGGCTCACTAGGCTAATCCTCCTCCTGCGGCGACGGTACTCTGGGTTCTAGTCCCAGTTGGGGCACCGGTTCTGTCCCAGTTGCTCCTCTTCCAGTCCAGCTCTCTGCTGTGGCCCGGGAAGGCACCTGCAGTGCCAGCATCCCATATGGGTGCCGGTTCAATTCTGATCCAGTTCTCTGCTAAGGCCTGGGAAAGCATTAGAAGATGGCCCAAGTTATTGGGCCCCTGCACCCATATGGGAAACCCAGAAGAAGCTCCTAGCTTCGGATTGGCTCAGCTCCTGCCATTGTAGCCATCTGGGAAGTGAACCAGCGGATGAAAGACCTCTCTCTCTCCTCTCTCCTCCCTCTCCCTCTCCCTCTCCCTCTCCCTCTCCCTCTCCCTCTCCCTCTCTTTGCCTCTGCTTCTCTGTAACTCTGCCTTCAAATAAATAAATAAATAAATGGATTTTTTTTAAAAAAGCTAACTTTGTATGTGTTTCACATCTACAGTGCCTTTTGTACCTTTGTTATTTTTGTTCTCTCTAAATACAGATGAGTGGCTTGTTTATTTTCTGTCTTTTTGTTTTTTGGGGTACAAAAATTGGCTTCTGAAGTGATAATGCCTGAACTAAACCCTGATGCAGCGCTCCTACCATACAAACAGAATATCCTCCGTGTTCTCAAAGGATCAAATAAAGGAAGTCAAGCTGGCATTGAAAACTCTGCAGTCATTCTATCAGGGTGTTCTCTACATGAAGACCAGTGCATTGAAACTGCTGAGAAATGGGTGCTTCCCCAAGCACATCTAATTCTAATATCCGAAGCATTTTTATTAGAATTGTGAAACTTATGCCCGGCAAAATATTGCTTGTTGTCCCCTGGATAAATGGAATTTGGTATTTGTGCTATACAGCAGCACTTTGGATGCAGTTAATTCATTTACATTTAGCAGGCTAGAAGAATCAAGTTAACTGTGTACATGTGAGATGTCGCCAAAATTGAAGCAGAGAATTACTTAGAAGAATAGAACATAATCATAATAGGGGGAAGCTTAATTTCATTTCCAAACACAATGACAGAGAGGTTCTCCCACCCTATGCAAAATGGGTGTCACTTACAGCCGTATCTGCAAAGGTGTCTTCGTAAAATCCAAGCATCAGAGCAAACTGCACAACTGTGTAGAGCTTTAGCAGTTGAGATGCAGATGAGGAGAAGGGAACTTCTTTGCCTGTAACCTAGGGAGACAAGAAAGAAGTCTTTTCTTTATTTTTTCGGGGTTTACTCCTCTCTCAGAAATCCACACTGAGTCAAAAGCTATGCAAAAGCAAATGGAAATTTTGTTACTCATTCTTATTTAAAAAACACTGGATTTGGGAGATGGAAGATGGTGCATAAGTTGAAAAACTTGTTTCTCATTTCGGAAGCACTGCAAGGGAGCTTCAAACTGTTTGGAAGGGCAATGCAAGAACATACTGCACAGTAGGTAGAGCCAATAAAGACAGTCAAAGTGAATAGGTTGGATCTTCCCCACCTGCCAATATGCCCAGCATCGCGTGAGACAGCAAGCAAACAGGAAACGAAAGACAAATGGCAGGGGACTCTGGGAAATCATGATTCAACGGGAAATGGTATTTTAATAGAAACAACTTTCCTAATCTATCTCAGAATGCTATACTTCTCTTGTAGGCTTCTGCATTCATACAACTTTACTTTTTTAAAAAGATTATTTATTTGAAAGGCAGAGTTACAGATAGGCAGAGGCAGAGGGAGAGAGAGAAAAGGTTTTCCATCCAGTGGTTCACTTCCCAGATGGCCACAACGGCCAGAGCTGAGCTGATCTAAAGCAAGGAGCCAGGAGCTTCCTTCAGGTCTCCCACACAGGTGCTGGGGCCCAAGGACTTGGGGCATCTTCTACTGCTTTCCAAGGCCATAGCAGAGGTGCTGGATCGGAAGTGGAGCAGCCAGGACTAGAACCAACACCCTTATGGGATCCCAGCACAGCAGGTGGCGGCTTTACCCACTATGCCACAGCGCCGGCTGCACTCCTACAACTGTGAAATACTCACTTTGACTATGTGTTGATAAAAAGAAAAGCCTAACTATAAACAAAACTGTCTGGAGAAAGTTAAGCACAGTGTTGGTAAGAGGATAAGAAGGCATTTTTATTTTAGGGCTGTTGTAAAATAATAATACTCAAATAAAACAAATATATGATTTCATTTACTTGAAATATCACAAGCAGACCTTTACCTAATTTTGAAAGATTTATTTGATTTCTTTGAGAAGCAGAGTGACAGAGAGAGGGAGAGAAAGAGTTCTTCCATCTACTGGTTTCCTCTCCAAATGGCTGAAATGGCCAGGGTTGGCACAAGTCAAAGTCAGGCGCCTAGACCTCCACCCAGGTCTCCCACATGGGTGCCCACTTGATTGGAATGGAGCAGGCAGGATGCTAACCAGGGCTCTGATACGGGATGCTGGCATTACAAGCAGGGGCTTAACCTGTTGTGCCACAATGCAGGCCTCAATGCTAACGTTTACACTCATACTATTATGTTTAAAATCTTTAGGGGTAGGTGTTTAGCCTCATAGTTAGGAAGCCTGCACTCCATACTGGGATATCTAAGTCTGGTCCTGGCTCTGGCTCCTGGCTTCAGCTTCCTGCTAATGAAGACCCTGGGGCTGCGGCGATGGCTCAGGTAACTGAGTGTCTACAACCCATGTGGGAGACCTGGATTGTGCCCAGCTCCAGACATTGAGGGCATTTGCAAAATGAACCAGTTAAATGGAGAGCTCTGTCTGTCTGTCTTTGTTTTTCCCCTCTCTCTTTTTTCCTCTTTGACTCTCTGCCTCTCAGGTAAATAAACAAGTAAAATCAACAGTTTTATACATTTCTGTTGTTGTTTCTGTACTATTCTTCATGATATTTATTTGATAAAGATTTGACTTATGGGGCAGGCACTGTGGTGTAGGTGGTAAAGCCATTGCCTGCAGTGCCAGCATCCCATATGGGTGCTGGTTTGGATTCCGACTGCTCCACTTCCAATCCAGCTCTCTGCTATAGCCTGGGAAAGCAGTAGAAGATGGCCCAAGTCCTTGGGCTCCTGCACCTGTGTGGGAGACCGGGAAGAAGCTCCTGGCTCCTGGATTCAGATTGGTACAGCTCCAGCCATTGTGGCCAATTGGAGAGTAAACCAATAGATGTAAGACTTCTCTCTCTGCCTCTCTTTCTCTCTCTTTGTAACTCTGACTTTCAAGTAAATAAATAAATCTTTAAAAAGATAAGATTTGACTTATTTGCTAGGGAATCATATATAATCAATTACTAAAACAGAAATTTATTTTCTAGAAAAGAAATTGTATATTGAAACTGAATTTTTCATTTGATGCCCAGTGTTTAAAATCTCTACATTTCTTATTTCTGTATTTATGGCTTCTCTTTTAATATAGACTGCATATAGTTATAATCTGATTATCTAATTTGAAACTCTGTCTTGAGGTGATTTGAGATCCTCCAGGAATCGCAATATGTTTCTAAGCAAAATGAGGGCAAAATCATTCCTGTGCTCCCTGCATCTCTGCAGTCTGAGCATCCTCTGGGCTGTGTGAATCTGCGATGCTGTATTCTTGCATGGAAGCTCGTAGCTCTGGGTTTGAGTGGGACTGCACACCAATCCCCACTGCTCTGCTCCCCAGACTGCGTTCCCTGGTAAGAGGCAGTAGAAGGCATGCCTTGTCACTGCTCATCCCTTTACACACCACAGGGCTGCATCTCAGGTCAGCCTGAAGGCAACATGTACAAGTGCTGGACAGTCTGACTGTGGACCTGACATTAGGACATTGCTCTCTACCACTTCCATCTGTCTGCCTCAGTGTTGCTTACCTGTGGAATTTCTTCACTCAGCCCAAGCCTTGGTTTACCTGGACCCCATCCTGGTCCTTTAAATATGACAGAAAACTTATTGAAGAATCCAGGGGTGGCCCAGAAGGTAGTCCACATGTACAATAAATGATGGAACTAGGAAGAAGTAAACAGAGTTTATTAAAATAAGACAAATGTAGCAAAATGTATTGAATGCAACACAGTGTTAACTATTAAGTGATTAGCTACGAAAATCACATATTTGATATTGTTCGATATAATTTAAATACTTTCCATATATTTTAGGTGTGTTTATATTGATGCAGGTGGATAAGCAAGTACATTCCATTTTGTGATTCATTCTATGCTGCCTGTGTACCTCGAAGTGTGTTCTTGTCACTGCTTCTCAAAGTCAGACAAATTATAATTTGGGAATAAAAACATAGATGTTGTTTGAAAAATCAGCAAGGTACAAAACAATTTAAGTGGCTTTGCTTCAGATCTAATAAATGAGCAGCCTATGCCTCACATCCTTACTTGATAACACTTTTTCTTTTTTTTTTTTTTTTTTGACAGGCAGAGTTAGATAGTGAGAGAGAGAGAGAGAGAGAGAGAGAGAGAAAGGTCTTCCTCCCGTTGGTTCACCCCACAAATGGCTGCTACAGTCGATGTGCTGTGCTGATTTGAAGCCAGGAGCCAGGTGCTTCCTCCTGGTCTCCCATGCGGGTGCAGGGCCCAAGCACTTGGGCCATCCTCCACTGCCTTCCCGGGCCACAGCAGAGAGCTGGACTGGAAGAGAAGAACCGGGACAGAATCTGGCACCCCAACCGGGACTAGAACCCGGGGTACCAGCGCCACAGGCGGAGGATTAGCCTAGTGAGCCGCTACACCGGCCTTGATAACACTCTTTCTAAAGTCTTGCTAAATGGATATTAAGGTGAGTTAAACATGGACATATATGATATTTGCATATTTGCCCAAATATGTCAAAAACCTATACTTACTGTATTGTGCTATGAACAATCATATCATATACCCAAACTATTCAGAGATATTTTTGAAGAACAGACATTTGAGTTTTTAAAGTATCTTTACTCTATAATTAGAAAGGAAAAATTTGCTTCCTAAGGGAAAAAATTACTTTGAGTTTCCTAGCAGGAATCCACATTTCATAAACAAAACACATTCAACAAAATATTCTCGCAGAGGATAAGTGTCCAGTAAATATTAACTCTGGATAATTAGCTGTGTAGATGTGATTGTTATGCACCATAGGATTGAAAAAAGTTCTAGTGTTTGGGCATCAGCTATAGATTCCAGAGATAAGTTCTGCTAGAAGTGTGGAATGCATACATGGAGAGGAAAATGTTTTTTTCAGAATCTATGGTCTTGTTGGTATTTTCATTCTGTCTTGAAGGATGTAAAATGCTAGGATTATACAAATGGATTTTAAAATTGCTTGAGATACTACAAAAACGCATGGAAGAAATTAAGGAACAAGACAGAATTTAATGGATTAAAGCTTTAGTCTGGGACATTGAAATAATAACAACAACACAGACAATTAATGTGTTAAGAGTTACAACACACATTAGAATACTGACCTGTTTGTCTGCTTTGCAAATTGACTGCAATTTTATTTCTATCATTGCAGATAAAAGTCATAACAGTTTAATGTTAGAGGTGTTTTTTGCTCACTTATTTGCTTCTCGATACTGTGAAATGGTAGGAACCCCAGCAGAACAACATGAATGACAATAATAAAGAAATCATAATGATAATGTAGAAAGAAAACCCTGGCCTGTCTAGAGAGAGTTGTCTGGTATAAGTTGCTGTCGATGCTTCTTAGCCTTAGGTGAGAAATTTAGCCACAATAAAGGCAATCAGGGGAAAGTGACTACAGGTTTTTGTAGGCTCAAGAACTCCCAGTTGTCACAACCTTCTGACTTGGTGTTCCTGACGATATAAATGAGCATGAAGACGAGTAAACCTCACACCCACCGACGACGCAGTAAGGCTAAACGAAATGTTTACGTGAGTCAGGTGCAAACCTGGAGTCTTGGCCTAAAACCCACTTTGATTAAATTCAAGCTAAGAAGCTGTGGGACTTTGGGTGAATTATGGAAATCCTGGGAGCCTCCATCAGAAAACAGAAATAACAAGAGCCTCTGTTTCAGAAAAGTTTTTAGTAGTGGTTTTGTTACCGATTCTGGCAGAGCTGTGAGCAGTGCCCTCAGCTTCCTGACTTGGTGAAAGGAGGGACCCACACAGAGCTGTCTCGAAAGCTTTGTGTGAGCATTCATATCTTTTTCTCATTTAGTAGGCCCTGACCCCAGAAGGACTGGTGGCAGGGGGTGGGGTCTGACTCTGACAGACTGGGGCTCCACAGACATTCTTCATTTCTCTAGCGCCAACCGTTGACGCCAAGGAACAAGCAATGCCACATGTCAGACAGAAGCCAGTCCTGTGCACCAGCCATGAGCAGGTGGGAGATTGTACAGAAGGATCCAATCTGTAACAGCTTCTGTCACTGAGAGCCATGCAGAGGAGGCGAGGGCTGCCCGGGGTATGTCTAACCATAGTCACACAGCCTGGAGGCAAGTGATTTCTCTGATGTGGGATCTCTTAATTATCCACGTCACTACTGCTCCCTCTGAATATATTTCAGGTATATTCTGAGAAACAAAATGGTTGCTAAAAAGCCTCTTTCTTTACAATCATAGTAGTAGCCAGATTTGAAAATTCATATAACAAGTTCACTTTAAATGCACTTTGCCTGACTTGATTCAAAGTTTTGGTTGAGTGCCAGAGGTATTGACAGATTCTTTCACAGTTAATTTTTTTTTTCTCACTGGAGGGTAATATTCTCCATGTTTCCCAATTATTCTCTTTACTCTGTGATTTATGAAATGGTAGAATGTTAGAAAGAACAAAGCCAGTTAAATTACCTGGACCTTGAAGGGTTCAAATGTATTGATGGGATGTGTTAGGCCATAGACAACCTTCTCATTCTCTGCTTCAAACGTACCTGGAAGGTAAACATTAGGGAATAATCTTTGGCTCTCTATGAATGGAGGAGCCATATGAACTATTAGATTATCGTACGTTTTTCTTACCAAACAGTCTATCCCAGATAATAAGAGTGCCAGCAAAATTTTTGTCGATGCAGTAACGATTTCTACCTGGGAGACAAAATAGTAAAAGATTTTTTCAAAACACTGAATAATGCTTTTTGAAACACTTTTTTGCCTTGTTTTTTGAAAATATTCAGCATGCTTCTCCTGAGAATGCCTTCTCACTGACAACACCAGATTTTGTTTGCCAATAATGCAGGTTTTGTTTTATTAATTTTTCAATTACTTTTAATTCAAGGGCAAAGTTTTTTTTTTAAATAGTTTCATTTCTTTTTTTTAACTTTTATTTAATGAATATAAATTTCCAAAGTACGATTTATGGATTACAATGGCTTCCCCCCCATACCGTCCCTCCCACCCACAACTGTCCCCTTTCCCACTCCCTCTCCCCTTCCATTCACATCAAGATTCATTTTCGATTATCTTAATATACAGAAGATCAGCTTAGTATACATTAAGTAAGGATTTCAACAGTTTGCTCCCACACAGAAACATAAAGTGAAAAATAATAGATGATTTTTTTTAAATGATGATGAAATCAGATCAGACCTATTGTCATGTTTAATCCCAGTGAGAGTCAAGTTGGGAGTTGATAATTTCTTTTTTTTTTTTTTTTTTTTTTTTTTTACAGAGGATCAGTTTAGTATGCATTAAGTAAAGATTTCAACAGTTTGCACCCCCATAGAAACACAAAGTGAAATATATTGTTTGAGTACTCGTTATAGCATTAAATCTCAATGCACAGCACATTAAGGACAGAGATTCTACATGAGGAGTAAGTGCACAGTGACTCCTGTTGTTGACTTTACCAATTGACACTCCTGTCTATGGCATCAGTAATCTCCCTATGCTCCAGTCATGAGTTTCCAAGGCTATGGAAGAAGGGCAAAGGTTTTCTTAAAACAAAATGCATGGTTTTTTTCTCACAACTTTTCTGTTAGGGAAAAATGAGATAAATTTAAATGATTGCTTTTCAGGATTATGAAAAAGTAATATGGGCCAGTGCTGTGGCACAGCAGGTAAAGCCACTGCCTGCAATGCTGGCATCCCATATGGGTGTTGGTTCTAGTCCTGGCTGCTCCACTTCTGATCCAGCTCTCTGCTATGGCCTGGGAAAGCAGTGGAAGATGGCCCAAGTCCTTGGGCCGCTGCACCCGCATGGGAGACCCGGAAGAAGCTCCTGGCTTCTGGCTTTGGATTGGCACAGCTCCAGTCATTGCAGCCAATTGGGGAGTGAACCAGCGGATGAAAGACCTTTCCCTCTCTCTCTCTCTCTCTGCTTCTCTTTCTCTCTCTGTGTAACTCTTTCAAATAAATCTTAAAAAAAGAGAGACTCCTATTTAAAAAAATGGTAATATGTAAAAATTAAAATGTGCCAAGAAAAGTAAATAGAAAACAAGACTTTACAATAATACATGTGAGTATGTTTTTAGAAGTTTTATTTTATTTATTTATTTGAAATGGGGAGAGAACGAGAGCAGGAGAAAGAGGGAAAGAGAGAAAGAACCCACCTACTGGTTCACTTCGCAAATGCCTGTACTGTCTGGATTTGGGCCAGGACCAGAGCCAGAAGCCATGAAAGTGCCCCAGATCTCTCATGGAAGTGGCAAAGACATAACTGTTTGAACCACCATGGCTACTCCCAGGGTCTGCATTTTCAGCAAACTGGAGTCAGGAGCAGAAATCGGGACTTGAACCCAGACATTCTGGTGTGAGGCTTGCACGTTTTTACCACCAAGCTAACCACCTGTGCCCTCTGTATGTGTGCTGATTTTTAATTTTTGGGATGATGCACCCTTCCTCTTTCCCCTGCATCTGTTTTAGGATGAAAATTCTCTATTTAGAGGGAGACCCAGCTTTTTGTTTTTAAACATAAAAGACAAAGTAAAAATGAAATTACCATTGCTTTTTAACTCACACATTTGAAACCTAGACACAAGGAAATTTCTTTCCCAGTGAAAAGTGGAGTGAGATTGGTTTCTGGTGTGCCCATCCATCGCCACACACCAGGGAAACAATGGTTATCACCTGGGTAGAGGAGCAGGTTTGCCCCTCAAGAGACACTGGGCAATATCTAGAGTTGTTAGTGGCAGGGACAAGGAGGAAAGGGCACTATCAGCTTCCAGTGGGTGAGGCCAGCAATACGTTGACTGCCCTGCACACGGCACAAGCCCAGAGAGAAGAAGGATCAGTCTCAGGAGAAGGATTAGCCCCAAACTGCCCATAGCACTGAGGTTGAGAAACCCTGAAACAGCAGCAGCGGCATGAAACTCAAGTCACACACAGCAAACCAGCAACAATTTTCAACACATTAACTCACATTTGCTCTTCTCCACTCACTGCTTCGCTTGTATTACAGAGGGAGCCAAAGGGTAGGATGCTCTTGGCTTCTCCTCCTTGCTCACAATTGCCTGGGGATGGGAATACATCAAGGGGCGACTCGGCTTGTGCAGTGTGCCTGTGCCCTAGCCTTGCCTCAGCTCTTCCTCCGTGAGTTTTTGCTTCTGCTCTGCACCTGCTATAAAGAAGGGGAGCAGCTTGCTCCAGGGCTGCCTGTGAAGCCTACAGACTGACACTAACACAACAGGTGTATCTAATCTCTAATTACTGGCTTCCTGCTCCCAATGTAACATTCGTAAGACTTTTTTTCAGACCACTGAATGTAGCAGTGGTTTGAGCATTTCCATTGTTAGATGATTCTCCACTACACGATTGTGTTCTGCCACTGAAAAACATTTGAATTCTTTCTCTTTTTTTTCCCCTGATTTGCACATTCTTGGAAAGGTCTTATGAACAAATATAAATATTTCTGTTGTTTCTGAGGTTGTTATCTTTAACACTTAGCCAGGGGGATTTTCCCCTTGTCAAGTGAAAGTAGGTTATGCTATTTGTTTATGGAACTTAGAAAAGGAAGTTGCAATGATGTTTATCAGGCGATCCTCGAGTCTCTACAGTTTCCAAGGCCAAGAATTCTCTAGACGCAGGCAGGAATACCCCTCATGGAATAACCTTCCACAAAATGACTGCCTCCCCAGCTGCTTCGCTCATCTTTCTGCTCTTGCTGAGCTGCGATGGAGGAAGAAAGGAAAATCCAAAAGTCAGAGAGAGCTTCTGCAACCCCTGCATAGCCCATGCTTTGGGGATGAGGCTTGTCTGGATTCGCAAGAAGAAACTCTATTTGTGCAATGGGTACCAGTTTCATTGGGCAATCCTGAAGAGTTAGCACAAAATTGTGACATTATAATTGCTAAAGCAAGAAAGAAATAGAACCTTCTTACCATGATGAACTCTATGGTGGCTGGGAGTATTAAGAATCAGTTCCAAGGGACCTAGGTTACTGATGACCTGTTTTAAACAAAAAGAATATTGACACACATGGTCATTATTGAAGGTATGTATAATGTATAAATATGTGTAAACCCTCATGGGTTATGAGACATAGCAAATTTCAGAACTGGCATCACAAAGGAGTTTCTCTATCTGATTTGCAATCATAATCTGGACACTCTATAATGAGAGGCACTGTATTTATATTTTATATTTGTGTTTTTGAGAACTACATTGACTGAGTTTGCTTCTCAGATCCTCCATTTCTTTCTATGTGATGTTGGGAAAAGCAGTTAGGCTTTTTATAGCTCAGTGTCTTCAGTTTACAAGAAGCAATAACAGGAATATGTAGGTAGTAACATCCTGAGCATTGCAAACCTTACTGAATTATTGACAAGGCACATTTTCTTTGGGTTTCATGCTTTGTTGTGTGTGTGTGTGTTTGTGTGTATGTGCATGTTTTTTTGTTTGTTTGTTTTTTTAGTTTCAACTTTGGTAATTTAAGTAAGCAGAGCATAACTATAAGAAGTGAGACAATGTGCTATGCTCGTGTTTGGGAGTTAGTTTTCCCCTACAACCACTTACTATGTAGGTGTTGTCTATTGCAATAGGGTGACCCTGCTTATCCAAATAGCATCCTACATGGCCTCTCACCTGTCAGAACACTGTCATTCTCTCCTGGAGGCAAAATTTTGAGTCCAATATTTAAAGAAACCTTTGATAGCCATTAATGCTGCTTCAAATTCTGGTTTCTGATTCTCCCATGATTTCTCTCAGCATTTCTCAGTAAGAACTCCCTAACCCCAGATTCTCAGGATAATAGCAGCCAGGGTGATATTACAAAACCAGTGCAGAAGGTCATGTGTGAGTTATTTGGTGTGTTAAACGATTAATACTGGGCAGTTTGTGGCAACTTTTAAGCTCAATTACATTACTCACTCTCTCACTGATCATGGTAGATAACAGAATATTTTACCTTCTTTTAATCACAACATAAACAGATTTGTCATAGCTACCAACAATAAAATCAATACACTGTCATGACAATCTTTTCTCTTCCTTTAAAATTTACTTTTTAAAACCCTAAAAAAATTCTGATTGACATATCTATGTGGTACAGTGTGACATTTCAAAAATGTATAAAATGAGTACTGATCAAATCAAAGTAATCAATATTTTATTCTTCTTTATCATTATTTCATGAATGGAACCTTGGAATCCCTCTTTTCTATTTTCTCAGAAAATATACAATAGGTCACTTGAACAAGCCAAATATAAAAGACCTATTACAGGCAGCGAGTGAAATCTGATCACAAACAGGCTACTAGATAATTTTTTAAATACTATTTCTTTGGGGAGTTCTGCTGGCCGTTTCACTCTGTAAGACAATGCAGTTCTTTTTTTTAAAGTGTATATCTGATGTGTACATGACATGATATCTAAGATTTGCTACAAAATACATTAGCAGAGGAAAAGGACAGCTAATACAAATGCATCAAGATCTTGATTTCTGAACTCAAATGATAGGAACACATAAATGTACTAAATTATTCTCTCTTCTGAATGCTTGAAATTTTTTAAGAGTTTAAGAGAGAACTTTCCATGAAAGAAATCCCTGCCCCTGGTCTTGTATAGTAAATGTGCATTAAGCCAAATTGATAGTATGACTGGATCTTCACAAGTCCCAAACCAAAAACTGTTTATCTAACAGGGTTGGTTAATTGTTTGGCAATCTCTAACTTCAAAACATCCAACTTACAACTGATCTGCAAATGCAAACAATTTGCAGCCACACTGTCTTCAGTTTGTTGCACCTTCATTAAAAAATTTTATTATTCTTTGTAAAGATTTATTTATTTATTTATTTATTTGAAAGGTCGTGTGAGAGAGAGAGAGGGATATTTTCTGTTTGTTGGTTTCTTCTTCAAGAGGGCTGGAGTTGGCCAGCGCCGTGGCTCACTAGGCTAATCCTCCGCCTGCGGCGCTGGTACCCCGGGTTCTTGTCCCGGTCGGGGCGCCGGATTCTGTCCCGGTTCTCCTCTTCCAGTCCAGCTGTCTGCTGTGGCCTGGGAAGGCAGTGGAGGACGGCCCAAGTGCTTGGGCCCTGCACCCGCATGGCATGGGAGACCAGGAGGAAGCACCTGGCTCCTGGCTTCAAATCAGCACAGCAAACCGACTGTAGCAGCCATTTGTGGGGTGAACCAACGGGAGGAAGACCTTTCTCTCTGTCTCTCTCTCTCACTAACTCTGCCTGTCAAAAAAAAAAAGGGGGCCGGTGCCACGGCTCACTGGGCTAATCCTCCGCCTTGCGGCGCCGGCACACCGGGTTCTAGTCCCGGTCGGGGCGCCGGATTCTGTCCCGGTTGCCGCTCTTCCAGGCCAGCTCTCTGCTGTGGCCAGGGAGTGCAGTGGAGGATGGCCCAAGTACTTGGGCCCTGCACCCCATTGGAGACCAGGAGAAGCACCTGGCTCCTGCCATCAGATCAGCGCGGTGCGCCGGCCGCAGCGCGCTGGCTGCGGCGGCCATTGGAGGGTGAACCAATGGCAAAAGGAAGACCTTTCTCTCTGTCTCTCTCTCTCTCATTGTCCACTCTGCCTATCAAAAAATAAAAAAAAAGGGGGGGGGCTGGAGTTGGGCCAGGACAAAGCCAGGAACCAGGAGCTTTCTCCTGCTCTGTCACCTGGGTAGCAGGGACCCATCTTAAGTTGCTTTCCCAGTTGCATTATCAGGGAGCTGGAGTGGACAGGGAGCTGGAGTGGACAGGGAGCAGCTGGGACTTGAACCTGTGCCCATATGGGATGCCAGTGTTCTTAAAGTGAAAGCTATGGTGACACTGCCACAGGCAACGCTGCATGCTCCCTCAGACAGGTACGGTCATCATCACGTTGACTAGGCTCTGAATCCCTGCTCCGCAGCTGACTCACTTTCCAATGTGCAATAGACAGAAATGTTTGCATGCAAAACAAAGTGTCATATTATATATTGTAGGCTCATTTGGGTGTCTTCTTCCCTCCCCTCCCCTCGCTTCTCCTCTCTTCTTCCTTTTCTTTTTCCTTCTCCTCTTCTTTTCTTCTCCATTTTATTCTCCCTCTCTCCTTCCCTATCTCTCTGTCTCTCCTTCTCCACCCTCCCCTCCCCAACTCCTCTCTTCCTTACTTTTATTCCTTCTTTATTTTTCTTTATTCTGACCTCAAGTCTTACCTATTTTTTGATCATTTCAATAAGGAATTTAATTTGAGCTCCAAACAGCAAACCTTTCAATGAATTCATAAAACTGAATTCATTTGTACACCAGAAAGCCTCTGTATTTTAAAATTTCAGGATTTCAAATGACTGTGAATGGATCACCCTTATATCTGACTACATTCTAATGGGAAAAGGCACAGGAGAGATTAGTCGCAATTCCAGTTTTAAGCCGTGGGCACTGGGAAGGGAGCATGTGGGAGTAGCCCTGTGTTTTCCTGGACTTCATTGCTTTGTGCTTGGTGGGAAAACATTTGTGAAGGAGAATGGTGATGGATAGAGAGTAAAAAAGTGCGGTTCCCTGGCAGTCTCAGCACTGAAACCTGATGCTTTGGTGGGGCTTGGTATCTCTGGTGGAGTACCATATGGGAAAAGGAGAAGCCATTTTATCCTGTTTGTTTGGGGATAGCATATGTCACAAAAACAAACAACAAAAGGAGGTAGCGTGGACTACACTGACCAAATTCTGCTTTCCAGATGCATTCCTAATTCTGGGCCCTAACATGTGTGCAACCAGTTTTAAAGCCACACAAATGGTGAGTGCATTCATATGACTAGAGCCTTAGCTGTGGTTATTATTATTATTATTATTATTTAATGCCAAGCTCTTTTTGTCAGAGAAAATCTTTAGCTCCTGTAGGCTAGTGTGTGGTGATATCAACATTGAAGGTTCTATTTTTTTTTTTTTTTAATTGAAAGCCAAGTACAACACAGTGAACCACAGTAAAATTTCCTGGTGGTGCCTGTGAATGCTGTGGAGCTGGTCAGACCACCTCGGAGAGGGAGATGACTCATCTTTCACATGAGGGCTTCTCATGGAAAAGCCCTTCCGATCAAAGTCATAGAGAATTCATTAATATTTAATAAGAGCTGAGCGTCACGACTTAATTATCGCCCACTTCTGCAGATTCAGCCATTTACAGTTCCACCACGTCTAGTTTTGAATCACTTCCTGAAAACATGTTCCTCTGGGAATAATTGTAGCTATTCCCATTTTCAGAAAAATTATTTATTTGTTTTACTTTTTAAGAATTAGATTAGTATGTTTATGTTATAGAATCTTAGAACACATCAACACAACAGGGGTTTAAATGTAATTTAGTCCAGTTCTCTATTATAAAAAAGCATCGGACTGAAGCTCACAGAGATTAAATTATTAGCTTAAGTTTAAACAGCTCAGAACAAGACCTAATGCTTTTTTTCAATTTCAGCTCAGGAATTCTACTTTTTCTGTTGTGATGCTTTTAAGAAACACCATAATTTTCCATCAAATAAAGGTAACTGGAACTTTAAGTTTTATTAGAAATGATAATTAAATCATTCTTTATTATTTATCAACGAAAGGGATTGCAGGTGTTTATAAAGAACCAAGGATTTCAGTTTCTAAACTGTCCCTGGTGATATTTTAGTCATTTCTTGTGCTTTTTTTTGACTTCCAATTTTTTATTTTAAAGTATTTTAAATAATATAGAGAAATATAAGTGAAAGGCCAATGAGCAGATGTAGATTTCACAGCATTTAACATTTTGCCACCTTCACTTCCTATGTAAATATTATATATATATACCCAGACATACATTTTTTCTTGAAATAAAGGATGGATATGTTAATATCACGTAACATGAGATTCATGATAAAAATAAACTGATGAAAAAGGTGAAGCATATATTATTATGTAAGAGATATAATTCAGCAAAGAAAATATTTATAAGTTCTATATTCCAGAAAATATGGCATCCACTATATATAAATATATACATATGCATATATTCAT